CTGCAGGACTGCCCAGCGCCAGGGCGGCACGGGCGCTCTGCGGAGTTCTGGAAGGCCGGGGGCATCTGTCCAGCCCGGGGTCAGCTGCCGAGCCCTGCCCCTGCCTCTCCCTGGGCTGTAGCACCCACAGGCGTCTCCGCCGGGAGCCCGAGCACCTTCTGGCGCTGGTCAGGTGTGCAGCCCTGACTGCCAGACGCCCCCGGCCGGCCCGGCCATCCCGAGGAAGGCCGGCGGCCTCCGTGGCCCCGCTCCTTCCACAGCCCCAGCCAGGACCGGGACCCCAGCAGAGGCAGGGCGCACGTGAGACCTGGACCCCTGCTCTAAGCAGGGGCCGTGTCCGTGTGCTAAATTCCAAGGGGAGGGAGTGGGGCACCCCGCAGGTGCCGAGGGGACCCCACGCGGGCGGGCACAGCACGAGCTCCCCGGCCGTTAACTGGGCGGGCAGGAAAGAGCGGGGAACTGACCCCGGGCGGGACGCCCCACACGGCGGTGAGCCCCGTTCCCAGGGACCCAGCAGGCCACACGCCCACCGGGACTGGGGACCCCTCGGGCGCCGTGACGTCAGAGGCCTGCCTGCGCCCCTGGGGGACGGCGCCGCAGGAGCTGACCGGGCCGAGATGTGACTTACCGTGAAGGGTGCAGGCCCGGGGGCCTCTGACTCGCTTCCTTTGTCACTTGGCGGCTCCTCCGTCTGCAGATAACAGCCCAGACGAACGCGGTAAACACGCCGCGCCCCGAGCCGGCACCCTCCACACAGACCCACCATTCACACGCAGGGAGACAGTGCGGCCGGCCCCAAGCCCCAGCCGCAGCCCGAGGACGGGACAGCGCAGGGTGGGCGGGGTCCCGCTGCGCCCCGCGTCTCCCGCCGGTAAATGAAGCCCGGAGGCGGCGGGTGGAGGGTCAGGGGTGGAGACCGAAGCCCCGACTCTCCCGGGCCCCGGCAGCAGGGGAGGGCCTGTACCTTATAGTTCAGAGGGCTGAGGTGTTTGAAGCAGCCGAAGCAGGTGTAGGCGAGGGAGACCAGGATGGTGAGCAGAACCACCAGGAAGGTGAACAAGGTGAGCGGGGCCTTCAGGCCTGGGGACGCAGGACGGCAGCCCGGCTGAGCGGGGGCCCGCCTGCGGCAGGGACCCCCCGGCGCCGGGGCAGCGCTCGGCAGCCAGGAGACGGGCCGCCAGGGACAGCTGGCGCGGTCTGCTCAGACTGCAGCTGGAGGTGCAAGCCGGGGCCCGCCCGCCCGCTGCCCGGCTGCCCGTCCACTGGGTCTGGGGGGCCCGTGCCCTCCCCTCCCCATGCCTCTTCTCAGAAGTGTCAGTTTCCCCGGCCCTCCCTGGTGGTGCAACGGTTTAAAGCGCGGCCCGGGCTGCAGGCCAGCCCCTGCAGCTGCAGTTCGATCCCCGCCCCAGAGTGACCCACAGGGCGCAGCAAGCAGACCTCTCCTGACCGCCCGCTGCCCCCCTCGGCAGTGGATTTCAGTCCACGGCTCCTTGCTCTGTCTCTGGGGAGTCCCCTCGCCCCCACACCCTGCACCCCCAGCTCTGACATGCATAGACGATACATCTTTAACAACATGGCAGTTTCCCTCCTGCACGTCCCCCTCACACTGAGGGGTGAGGGCCCCAAGCACAGCCCAGTCCAGCTCCCCGTCCCCCGTGGTTCGGCCTCCGGAGCAGCGGGGGGCCGCGGGACGACACTCACGCTGGCGCCAGCCGGCCCCCCCCCAGGACACGGCCTGGGCCCCCCGCCCCCTGCCGGGGAGGGCCTCACCCAGGCGCAGGAAGGAGAAGAAGTAGAGCCAGAAGAGGCACAGGATGGGAGCCGCCAGTGCCTGGCGCACGGCCGCGACGTGGGTCCGCTTCTCCAGCTTGGCCGGGAGGTAGATGAAGTAGAGGTTGTGCCGGTCCACCATGTGCTTGAGCAGGATGTAGATGAGGCCTGCGGGCGCAGGCTGTGAGCGGGGCCCGGCGCCCCCCGCCCGGGCCGTGAGGGCACTCACCGAACGGGGCGATGATGGGGCAGGTGATGCTGTAGGCCATGATGACGGTGAAGACGCACAGCGTCCAGGCGTACATGGCCCCGAACTCGTACTCGAAGGCCTGGTTCTGGGGGTGGAGGGCGGGGTGAAGGGCGGCGCTGGCTCTCTCCAGCACGCCCTCCC